GATACATGGTGGTGGTAGTTGTGATGCTGGTTTTAGTGAATTCGTGGATAGTTTTAGGAGGGTAGCATTAGAGAATGGTGTGTTTAATTGCGTGATGCACTACTCTACAATGGCTGAGAATACAATGTTTATCTCAGGACATAACGCCAATAACAAAATTGGAGTAACATTGAGACCGAAGACAAACAATAATTCGAATAAAGATTAAACCTATTGTCACGTGTAGAGTGGGTGGGAAACCTCTGGCCCACTGTGTGGACCAGAGGTCACTTGAAGGGATCTCACATGTAGTTCTGCGACATCCGTTTGTGTGGTCCGTTCTCGAACACGACAGCTTGCGCTGCCCTGCGAGAGATCCGAATGGGTACATCATCTCGTGACAGTGCCGCCGATGGGACAATCGGAATACAATTTGAGATAAAAAGAGTCAAATCGTAATCATTCGCAAGTCAATATTTACGACTCCTGGTTTTGGAGACCCGGCTGCAATAACCCCGTGTTATTTGTTGTTCTAAATTGTAAGTTGCAGGAATTTTTAATTAAAAAGTGTTTTTTGTTGGTCTTTGCTTCATTTAGCCAAGCATGGCAGAGATGATAATTAAAACATGGGCCAGCCAGAAATGAATTCCAATCTCGACGCTAATTAGAAGCAATATTCTTCACGTTAAGTTATGTGTTCATGTACACTCGAAAATGTTGGCTCTGAGCATTGTTTATGATTAATTTTATCTGATAAGAAATGTGAAATGTTTAAAACATGACTGCAAATTGAAGTGAGCGTTTAGTGAATCACCTAATTAGGCAATAATCCTATTTTAATTAATGTATCCCCATAACACGGTTAGTTTATGTTTGTAATTTTTCTTATTAAGAATTCTGGTGATAAGTGCACCACACTCTGACCCAGGCGACTCGAATTCGATTCCTGGCCACGGTTAACAGCCACTGACGAATGACGCATTAACTTGTTCTGGGCTGCCTCTTCATCCCTCACTGAGCAGTGTGTATGGTCAATTACTTGGGGGGAGGGGCGTTTGTCAAATTTCCAGAAGGCTTTCACCAACACGCCACTGACAGCATGTTGAAGTATGACCAATCAATCCACATGACCGGCACAGTGTGAGGAGGCCTTCATCCAAATGTTTCTTGTAGCGTATGGCAAGTCGAGTATGCGGACAGTCTTGTTCACCTACAACGGATATAACGCGATGAACTTATTAGGCAACAACATTTATTAATAACGCGGACGCGAATTGGATATGACGAGATTTAGTGCACTGAACTACGTCGCGTGAGTAGGAACAGGCGGTCACATGGCTGCCTTGGCGTAGCGTCATCACAGGAGGCGGTGGGATGCTGCTGGATGCTTCTAGATGCTACCAACGCGCCTCGGTTTTTGTTCAGCCTGAATACGCATCTCACGCGGACTGTGCTTTGCCCTATATTATATATCATTTATTATAACGCGATTTTTCCGTAACGCGGTGTTCTTCAGGAACGCAACGACTCCCCGCATTATAGGAAAATAGACTGTATATTATGCGTCCAGCTTTAAGTTTGGGATCCTTTGTGATAACGGCTTCTGGGGTAGCGCTACTAACGCTGTCCAGTTCGCCGGAGAGCAGACATAGAATGCAGTGGTTCACGGTATGGTCCATTGTATGGTACGGGTGGCTGCGGTCACTGCACTGTGGGTCCTCTTAAACGTCGTGCTTGTGAAAAGAGCCGTGTGCAGCAACAGTGAGCGGTCGCCGTTCTAAAGCGGTTGGTGGAGCCACCATCATTTTCTTGGCAGAACAAAGCTGTGCCGAGCAGTGGTGGGGGTTCCAAAAATTATACTCAATAAACACATAACAAGTCACATTTATTCATTCGTTTATTATATTTTTGAGGCAGCTGGCCAGGATTGCGCAAAACCTAGCCCACTTTTCTAACAGGCAACTGGACTAAGTACTAAGCACTTTGAAATAATGGTGCAGTAATAGTAATAATAATGCATTTTACTTCTGGGAGCCTCCGTGAGTATCATGACTCATTTTCAGGAGGGTCCTGCTATGTTGGGTTGTTTGGCTCATTTCATTCATAAGAGTTTGGCTTGTTGTGGGGGGAAAAAGAGACGGAAACACCCCACCACACATAGGATGGGGTGACACCCAATAATCCAATGTAGAGGCTGACCGAAACGGAATTTCTGATTTCGGCTGAAACCGAAACCAGATCAAAAATTATGAATTGACTTTCGGCCGAAACCGAAGCCGAAAGTTTAACTACAATTTCGACCAAGACCGAAACAGAAAGGTGTATAACCGAAGTTGCCGAACACAAGATTTATTAAATATGTCATGATGTAATGCTACTTTAATTAAAAATAAATCTAGAACTCATCATTCAGAGCCTGCAGTAAGAGTCGCTAAATATCAAATCTTTAGGTGTTACTTACTTAGTAAATATATCCAAACAAACGAATGTTGTAGTTAAGAAACAACAGTTTTCCGCATTCTCGCCCAGCAGGTTGCTGTGCATTGCTTGCATCATAATCGACTTTAGTGAAGTCATCCCATACCGCATGTTTCGACATTCTTCACGGTGATTAACTGCTCCGTTTATTAACTTTAATTTTCTACTTCACTCAGATTCGTAATTTCGTTATCACTAATTCGCTACGGAACTATTAACTAACTGAATATCACTATTGTCAGACTTCGAATCTCGGTATCAAGACGCGTGTAGACTCAAGCGAACGCAACACGCAAGTCAAGGCGGGCAGGCGGCTGGGGACAGACAACGGAGGCACTTTGTTGTCGTCCCGCAAAAGAGACTCCACACACGGATGGAGATGCAGGCTGCCGTCTGTTGACCAATCGTATATACATTAGCAGAGCATGGTTGCGGCTGTAACACCGCTCCCAAGCTGCTGCTGCTGCTGACGTGTGTGTGTTTGCAGCCTATCACATTGGATTGCCTAGCGCCGACTGACCGGCCGATAGGCAGAGTGATAGACGTAGCACTAGCGTTATATTCTCAAAATAGATCTTAGGTTGACGACCGAAAGTTAATATCAGTTTCGGCCGAAACCGAAACCAGACCGAAAGTAAAAAAAAATGACTTTCGGCCGAAACCGAAAGTCAAAAAATAACTTTCGGCCGAAACCGAAACTATACCGAAAGAGGCCATTTGCCAACTTTCGGCGCTGAAACCAAAACCGAATTTCGGTCGGCCTCTAATCCAATGACTGTGCTTCCATTTCGAGGCCACCACGCACCCAACCCAAACCCCACAGCACCTGGCCAACGATCGAACAAAGATGGTCACTGCCGTCTGGAACGCTCTTTCTTCCGATCATAGAAAACCACTGCAGCTGTGCACTTTTAAATCTAAATTGAAAACGAATTTCTTTAAGAACTGCTTTTTGCGTTTCGTTTGTTGTGCTTTCCCCCGCACCTCGGATTAGCACGGTTGGCTACGTACTGTGCGAAAAAAGTTCAACATACATACCTAGTATTACTCCCAAGGAGTCTCCCATTCAACTAGTAAGCAGGCTTAACTCTCCCATTGTAAATTTAAAATCTTGTTATCCGGGGGTGGGGATCAATGATTCACCACCACCCCCAACTTCAACAACCAAACTCCCCCAAAGAAACAAAAAAACATCAAATGAAATGACACGCTGTGATCAAACAACCGCCGCCAGCGATGTGGTGGGTAAGGAGGCTTTTTGTCCAGGAACGGATTGACAAGGAGCTGCACGTTCAACTGAGAAAACGACTTTTAAACAACGGTGGCATGGTTACTTTCATATATGGCGCACATACATGACAACATGAATGACAAGTCGTGACTCTTTGCCATGCAACTTAAACTGTGGACCGTGCATTGCCGTGGTCCGCGCTTGTGCGTGGTTATTTATGTTGCTGGTGAATTTGTGCGTTTCGTATCGAAATCGCCTCCAGTGCTGTCGCTGCTGGCGGCAATGCAAGTGGTTTAAAAAGTCAAAAGTCTTTCAACGCAGAAGGGGGAACAGCAAAGCTCCACGCACGCCGCTCTCGTCATGGCCAGTAGATCTCGACATCGGTGGCATTTTGCCTCTGAATGTACTGCTGCCATACGCAAGAACATACTAGAATATAAGACGCATACTCATGTTGCACGTCTGTACTTTCACTGAAAACGAGCTTCCAGAAGCTGTGTCGGTAACAGTATCCAGCGGGTGAAAAAGAAGCTCAAAGCAGGGGAGGCGGGGGTAGATGTTGTGAAAGGTGCCATTGTCATTGCGCGCTGAGAACACACAGTAAGCAAAGCCCACTTCACAGATTGTTCGCAATGAGGTTGAGCAAAGAAGAGGCCCCTCGACATTGCGCGCATTGTCCCAACTCCTCCTCCTCCTGTGCATCATCACGGCCGAGCGGCGGTGTGACGATGCGAGGTGCCGTGCTTGTGGCGCGCCTTGCCCGGGGTCTCTGCGTGGGTCGCAGTCTCTCAAATCCGGTAGAGTCACTTTAATATGCACTGTAAATTAGGAGCCTCCTTGACTGAAAGTGTGGTTGTACGCCGTGTTTATACATTACAATTGGCCTTATAATGATGCCACTCGCGTGAGATGTCTCGGGTCACGGCTACGATTGGAGTAGGTAGTGATCTTTTTTTTGTAATTTATGCTATGGTTTTTGTTTTATCATCTCGAACACACTTGTGTTTAACCTGTTTATTTAATTTTTGATTTAAAGCTTTCGTGGCTGCAGGGATTCATATTCCTGGTTCTTTCGGTAAAGTCACGTAGAAGGGAAACAATAAAATAATAAAAATATAAAACAAGAAAATTCTCACGACGTTTCGACTGCAACACAAGCAATCATCATCAGGTTTGAAAACCACAGCAATCATCATCAGGTGTGAAACCCACAGCATGTGTTTTTCACACCAGCATGTGGTTTTCACACCTGATGATGATTGCTTATGTTGCAGTCGAAACGTCGTGAGAATTTCATTGTTTTATATTTTTACTGTTTATTTAAGTTGTGCTTCATAATCGATTGTTTTGTTTTTGAGTGTGCTTCATTGCGGTGACGTGTGCACTCATGCGCGCTCTAAACTTCGCGGATTACGATCATCGCGGGGCACTCGGCTCAGGGGTTAGGTATGTTTGGAATTGTTCGTCAAAAAAAGGCATGCGGCAATTGTGAAGAATATTTCCTGCATTCTATCGCACCCACGAACACACCCCCACCCACCCACCCCGAACGCACCCTCATCACACACGTGTACACTTAACCAAGTGCATAGAGTTGCGGCTGTCAACTTGGAGTACGCAGCGAGTTGATCTCACGCACCGTGCCCTGTCACGGACGCGTCTCTGGGTGAGAGAGAGGAGGAGGAGGACACAGCAACGCTGCTGCTGCTGCTGCTCAAAGCTCCTCCAGAGCGGTTGCAAGTGATGGCGAGCCAGGGCAAGGGCTGAGCTGAGCTGAAACGTGGTGGCAGATTTCATTTCAACTACCATCGTCCAAAAGTAACAAAGCCATTGTTTAAGTGGTACCTGCTTTATTGTTTTACTTGTGTTCACTCATCCACGCTCATCGTCGGATTGGCATATGCCGTTCTATTTAAAGTTCACATGCGCGCGTCTACAAAAAAAAACATAGTAACGAAGCAGGTTTAGCAGGCTACATTTAAGTTACAATATTCACTTTACTTAGCTTTTAGTTATCGGCGTCTGCACTGAGTGAAGAGCGGTGATGGCACCGGTGGAGCTGACGGGCGTCTCGGCAGCGCCGCTCGTTCTGTGCCTCTGCCTCCTGCTTCTGGGGATGCTTCTGGGGATGCTTCTCCTCGCTTCTGCGAAGACTCCGGGCAGCGAGCTTCTCCGCGAGGACAAGGAAGGTTCGCTCGGCCGCTGCATGCAAGGATTCATCTCTGGTGAGAAGCGTTCGTCATGCACCCGTTTGCTTGTCAACTTTTAGTTTTGACAGGTGAGAGGAGGCCCACTGCCAGCCCCTCTCTGCGTGTGTCGTGTGTGGCCGGATAGCCACACAATGTTTAGACATGGCTTAGAGACACCCACACAATGTTTATATATGGCTTAGTGACACCCGCAAGAATTTGGACAACAATGAAGGTGTTTTGCAATGCTGAATTTCTCTCCCTCCAAGCAGGTGATAACAGATAATTTGCATACACACAATAGCACAAGTTTAGTAATAATCATACTCATCATAGGCAACATCCGATACATTCATGTACATCATTATCATCATCCACGATACAGTGTTCACTCATCGTCAATGGTCATCATTCGTCATCATCCATAAATCATGCATCATTGTCCGCTATAAACCAGTAACCATCACCCATCCATCAATCATCATCATTCGTTGTAATCATCCATCAATCATGAATCACCATCTGCCATACACGATCCACTAATCACTACCATCATCACCACCACCACCATGCATCATCATCCATGATGATCAATATTGTTCATGCCCACTGCTAGATGGAGGCATCTGAATGTCAACATCACCACCACCACCACCATGCATCATCATCCATGATTATCAATATTGTTCATGCCCACTGCTAGATGGAGGTATCTGAATGTCAACATCATCACCACCGGCTCCGTGGTGCTGTATCGGTAATTCCACTGCAGGGCCAACGCCGGTTGCAATGTGGCAACTCCGACAATGAGTAATGGCAGCCCGGTTGCACGGCGCAAAATACAATTAACACGTTTAACCTGATATAGACGCTATCCGTCAAATAGTTGCAGGGATATTTTAACACCGTGCCGTGGAAACGTTCGGACCGTGACGAGTGTCAAAAAATATGCCATCTTGTGACAGCAAACAGAACATATACGAGCATACCTGACCTGGCCCGTGTCTCCACGTATGAATACAAATATGTTTTAGTCCACCCTCCAATTGGCTTTCCAGACCAATAGTATCCTAATATGTGTTTATGCAAGAAGACTCTGGACAGGTTTCGACCTTGTGGATCAGTGTTATATGTTCCTTACGTTCGCTCTTACTTCATTGTGGGTGGGTAATGCAATCTCTGTTCCCTCCCTCCGTCAAAGGGCTGAATGGAATCGCATGTACTCTGGCATAGCAGACGTGTACCAATGACTTGCGATGTGAGGAGTGCATTTATTGAAAGGATGGACGACCCATGCTAACGATATCCAGACAACCTCAATATTTCACGTTGTATGCCTCGACATACAAGCATTACATACATGAAGGTAATACTGTGCACATAGCTAACGCGTATAGACTGCTGGTGGTGTGTTTGTGTCTGAAGGTAGTGATGGTATAAGCACTTGTGTACTGCGCTATAAGCCGAGCTACCTGGGTTCGATCCCTGGCCACGGATACTATTGGTGGCAAGCGGTATCTTAACACGTCCTGGCCTCCCATAAGTAGACTCAGCCTTAAATCGGTATCCGGTGGGGTGTGTCAACATCGGCACTGAGGGAAAAAAGGTGGTTGGCCGTGATCCTGGTCACACCACCCCTTAAAACTAAACTATTTATTTTATTTAACAGGTAAGGCCTAGTGAGTAGCTCTTCATCAGAAGTGACCTGGCCACAAATGAGAACTCTGCAAAGTGGCTTATAGTGTGGAAATTTACAGCAGCCGAATACTCTAAAGGCACGTTTCTAATTGTCGAGGGGAAAACCGAAGGACGCGGAGAAAAATCCATGCAACCACGGGGAGAGAGACATGCAAACTCCAAACATACAGGCCTCAGGGTTCGCCATTGAACCCACGACCTCTTTTATACCAAGCGATGTAGTTAACGTCTCACCACTCCTTCGTTGTGACACTTTGGCCTTAATAGGTGCTTGCAAACAGCACTTGCCAAAACAAGGCTGTAAGACTATATGAATGAACACTTTGATATGTGTTTGTGTCACCAATTCAATGTGCTGCTGTGTGCATGCATAAGGGAGGTTCAAAAGCATTGGCATATTTTAGCAATTATCCTCTGAATACTTAAACGTTAGAAGATGTTAATCTTTAATATGGGCAGATCATCACAATGTCCTGTCCTATGTAGTACTCTCGTAAATAAAATAAAGAGCGCTCAAGTATTAATTATTAATGTTATTGTTTGGATTAAAAACAGTCTTGTGGGGTTGAGGGAATTGCTTGGATTATGCAAAATTAGAATTTCAAATGAGTTTGAGAATATTTAAAAAAAGAAAAGAAAAACAATGCTTAAAGATGTAATGTATCGAATGTTTAATATTTTTTTCGTTTTTCATATATTCCACTGAGGGCTTAATTTCTCACTGAGTATTTCCAGATCGCCGATATGAATTGGAGTCGGCAGGATATCATCACAGCCAGAGGGGGAACGTCGCCTGCGTGTTGTGTGCCGAGTGTGGAATAAGTTGTCGCCAACTCCGTCGAAATGAATCCCTGATTGTACTGGTACATCGCCAAGGGGTTTTTATTACCTACTTTATACCTTCAATTCGCCCACCAGCATGATAGCGTGTGGCCTTAACGGAGAAACTACACTACTCATAGCCCCTGAAATCAATGATGAAGTTTCCAATGAAATATACCGCGAAATAGAAAATGCCACGAAAAAAATTTGAAGCAATGAAGAGAGATTATGGATACTGCGTGCTACATTTCAGGCAGTGTCATCCAAAAATAGTGTCCCTGTAATAATAAACAACACAGCACTGTATGTACACATATACAGCCACGTAGAAAGTATACCAAGGGATATTTGAACTCGTTCCGTAACTCCACGCCGTCATCCACCACCACCACCGTTCCCCTCTCACTCATCAACTTTCACTGGCCAGCCTGAGTGAAGTATGATCAAACAACCCTCATAACCGACATGGCATGGGGAGGCCTTCATCCAGCAGTAGATTGGCAAATGGTTGTAAATAAATAAATATCTTACATCATTTTCTGGAATTACCATTTGGGTAAATAAATGGTAAAAAATGAGAAGTTATTTCCCCTTTTATCTGGCAACAAAAAATGTCAAAGGAGCAAATTCCTAACCATAATGGTGTTGGTCATCAGGAGTAAATCCGCAATCACTGCAGCGTTAGACAGCAAAATGCAGCAACATGTGCATCAAATAGAAAATGTGTAAAGCAACGATTAACTCAATCACAGCTGCTGACTAATGTGGCTTATATGAAGGCGTGCATGCTGTGTGGTTGAGCTTGCTATGGTAACATTTGATGTTTTTTGGTGGTTGTGGCCAGTGATGGTTGTGATCTTGTTGGGGCTGTTTCTGGTGTTTGATGGCAGTGGCGTTGATGTCCCTCACCGCCGTGTCATTGTTGGCATTCAGGTCCCTCGTGGTGGTGTTACTGGGGACTGCCATGGTACAAACACCATGGCAAATGCGGATACCTGATGCACACATGGAAAATTAAAAACTCTCCAGTGTGTGACTGTGGTCATCCAGAACAGACCATACAACGTATAACGATGCAATGCCCCGATCCACAAATACGAAGGAGACATCACAGCGATCCGCTGCTCCTTGACCACCTGAACGTGAAATTGTAGTGGTTGATCTGCGTCCACATCAGCCATATGAAAGAAGATTACTCATGCTTTTGGCAGTGTTGGCGGTGATGTTGCTGGTACTCAATGACATTAACATTACTCACTTTACTGCTGTGCTCCTCAGTGTTAATTTAGTTGGTGTTTTATTTCAGTTTGTCTCGTACAGTATATTACAACTTGTGAAATTTTAGTCACATCTTTTTGTGTTAAGTTCATTGTCCTTCCCCGCACCTCCGACTAGTACGGTTGGCTACGTACGGTATGAAATACGTTCAATATACATACATATCAGTCTCTGGATTTCATCTGTCATTCTGCTCCTCTATCTGACTATGGCAGTCAAAAATATGGTCCACTTTAAATTTAATTCAATTGTGCGGGGGTACAATTAACCTGTACCCTGTCCAATATTATCAGGCCAGTCAATCGTTGAACTCATTCACTTATTTTATATATGTAGAAATATAGCCAACTACTACGTTTAGTCTTCCTGAGTGCACCGCTGAATGATCTCAGTCTCCATATTCCGCTCAGACTCGTTAGTGACGTCCCGTTAGGGTCGGTCGCGCTTGTGTCTTTGGCGGGCGTGGGTCACAGCCATCCTCACACGTGATGATTACCGTTCACTCATAGCCATTGTTGACTAAAGTAAAATACAATTTTACTGTGCGTACGGACATGTATCCCACCACGTTCGCATAAACACAATTAATACCGGTGTCTGTGTGAAGCTTGGATGTGAAGTGGCATACAATGTCAATTTTTGAGTTATCTCGAAATCCCTTAACGTGTGTCTATCCTTTCAATACAAAAAAAACCCGTCTAGCCTTCACAGACTGTTGGGGCAAGTGCTGTTAGCGAGCACCTATGAAGGCCGGCACGGCACACGAGGGGGTGGGTGGCCAACACCACGCCCGTCCGCCTTTGTCTCCCTGGTGGCGATGCTCATGCATCACACCAGGTACTCATTTGAGGTTGAGTCGACCTAGGGGAGGCCCAGGACCGATTCAGATAATCGTCACCGGTGTTGTCCGTGAACGGGAATCGAACTCGGGTGGCCAGGTTCGTAGTGCAGCGCGCAAACTGCTACACTACCGCTCCCCGCTTTCCTTTCAACACAAGCACTACCCACACACACACACGAAAGCACACTTTGTTTACGATAATTTTCGTGACTTAATTTCATTCGCAAAATTAATACTGGTGGTGATGTGATGCTGATGGCGATGCTGTCGTGGTGACAATCCTGTGCTGGTGACGATAACCGCCGACGCTGACGATCCCGCGGCACCGATAGCGCGCTGGCTTTGTGTCCCAGGCATGTCGTGGCTGCTGGAGGCGGCGCGCTCGCACGTGAAGCGCTGCCTCTGCCCCGCCAAGGAGGACAAGCAGACGCTGGTGGAGGCGCGGCCGCCCGACTACGTGGAGCGCAAGCTGTCGGTGGCCGGGAGCCGGCCCGTCGAGTTCGTGCTGCCCCAGCTGCCAACGATCGCCATGCGCCAAGTGCACGTGCAGCAGCAGCAGCAGCTCCATCACCAGTATCAGGAGGTGCAGCAGGTGGAAGAAGCTGTGCTATTTGACCGAAGCAGGGATGAGAAAATGCATATTGTTAATGGCAATGGTAAGCAGGGAAGAGAGTTTGGCTGAATACATCAGTGATTATTATTTGCAAATTGACATATTTTGAGTTAAATATATTGATTCATAAATGTATAATATCTTGAAGCTTGTCAATAATCCGTGTTTCCCCCTCCCGCCCCCATCAGAGTGGTTTTTAATTCTATATTGATTCGTATAAACATGCTTTCATTATTGAGGGTAGTGCGGTGGTTAGTTAATGCACTGCACTCTATGGCCTCAGCGCTCTGTGTGATTCCCAGCCTTTTGTAGACATCAGCAGAGAGTGATGTCTGACGAGCGCGAGGAAGCTTGGGTCAAGCAACCAACATACTTCATAATTTTATCGTTATCCTTGCTATTATTACAAAAGGTACGCTTGCAACTTCAGAAGAAAACGTATGTCTGAAAATGTCTAATTTTTGTACATTTTGTAAATCAACTTAGTTATCAAAACGCGCAAGCTGTTATATATATTTTGTTTTTATTACAAACATTTTATTTGTGCATCCACTCAGCTGTCGTCGTGTGAAGTACAGCGGAACGGGGTAGGGAAAAAAACCAATACCTCCGCTTTGTGTTATTCGTTGTGCTGTGCAGTGGCTCGTGAACAGTGTTTTGGTTCGGTGGCACACTTCATTACACTCTTTATAACAGTGCACCGCGCTAATGACAGCCATAGCAAATCGCTCTCGCACTCTCCCTGAATGGGAAACTTAATTTTTGTGCGCTTCACTTCTTTACAAGTGCAGGGCACAAAATGAAAAAAAATTACATCCAGTGTAAAATGAGGTAAAATTGTTCTTGGAAACAGTCTCTGGACGCAAAGCAGTTTTTTTTTGGGATCGAGGGCTGTGCATATAAAAAAAAAACAATCATTGTACTTTACTATGCTCCAATAACGATGCTCCACACCTTCACCAACAACCAGTACTGATCAGAGTGGTGAAGTATGACAAGCACTGCATGGGAAGTCCCTGATCCACTCCCAGTGGATCGACAAAGGGGCTGTTCCGTGTACACGTGAGGGATCAAACATCACTGCGCCGCATGATATGGTCTTCCAACTGTGAATCGGTGAACCATCCTGAACTCTTTCTGCTCTGGGGAAAGGCTACGACTTGAAATGCCTCTTGACAATGTTTTTCACCTGTTGAGGAGGAATGTGCTTTACTTTTTGTTTAAATGCCCGATCTGGCCGTCAAGACATCGATTAAGTTTCAACCCCCTTGTTGCGATACACCCAGTGGGAAGGGTTTGTCACCTTTTGATGTACGAAACACAAGGACATATTATGGGAATAATAATAATAATATCTAATAATACCAGAATAGGGGCGAACGACAGGTAAATGCATTACAATCAAGTGCACGTTTTTGTTAACCAGGGGAGAACTCGAGAACAGGATTAGTCTCATTGGCAAGAGGGACCTGGATCACCAAGATGACTTAAGCAAAACAAAAAGTACAGCGATGAAAACAAATATACAGTGGTGTAATAATCACGTGACTGACAAAACACTGGGACTTTGGATGTTCCGGGAAGATCCACAGGTCTTTCCAGGACAGCTATGATCGAAAAGGAGAGTATCCTGGTTAAACCAGGACATGTGATGATGTCAATGTTAATAATGAAACGCTGCTGTCTTTTCCCCCCACTCTCCTATCCAAATAAAACAGTGGTTGCACTGCCACTCTTCAGCCAAATTAAGCGTGAACTGGTGGAGGGGACACCAGGATCTGCCACCGTAGGGCCTGCCGGCCTAGGCCAAGATAACCCAAGGCGGCGGCCCAGCTCGCTGAACATCTCACCCGTGGGCACCGCCTCCCGTGGCTCCTTCGCGAGGGCCTCCTCAGTGTGTACGTCCACCTACAGCCCCAAGCCGCATTCGCCAAGCCCATCGTGTGGCCAAGCCAGCCGCTCCTTCAGCATCCAAGGCTCAGGTACACAAGGCTCAGGTACACAACGCCCGCAGATTGGTAGGGAATGTCCCTTAGTCCTTGAACATAGGTGGAATGCCAGTTTACAAGAAGAACACATGTATCTCAGTTCTTTATATCGGTATTGTACATACAGTACTGGACGTATACTTTGTTTCTAAGTGTGCATAAAAACACGGGATAAAATTAAACACTGCTCTGTCGCGCTTCGTGCAGTTTCAGAGGTCGCCCACACGGCACAGAGTACGATGTCCAAGTTTATGATATTCAAAGTTTGTGATCACTACTGCATATATCTGTGAATTTGGTTTTATTAACATATATGCTGACCACAGCGAATTAAATGCCCATTGTAATGCTGTACTTTTGTTGTGATATTTATGTAAAAGGAGATCTAAAAGTACTGAATGTTTTTGGATGTTTTGGAAACTTCAGACAATTTCACTTATTTCCTTCAAATATTTGCACAAAAACTGTGCCTTCTGAATGTCACTGAATTGGTTATGCTCATAGCAATTAGTAGGCGATCACATAATTATTGCCTAATTCCCAGCGTGCACCATTTCATTCTTTGTGCACTTTTCAGCTAATCTGAAATATTTATTTGTCAGAGTCCATGTTTCTCATCCAGGTCATGGTAGTGAATTGCACTGAGAGGCAGAAGGAGGAACACATGGATCATAGAACATGCAAACTACGGCCAACATATTGACTGTGAATAAAAAAAATTAGTGGGCTTGAGGAAGACACATCGCCACATTGGATGATAGCTGAGGAACGAGAATGGTGAAGAAATGGCAGCCAAAGAAGTGAACACGCCTGAGAGGACGATCATTGCAGAGGTGGAGCAATGAGATTAGCTCATGTACAGCAGCAAGAGATGGAATTTTGCATTGCAGATCTGTGAGAGACGTGGTGAAGAAGTGGGGGCAGGCCTTCATGGAGAACAAATAAATGTACTTACGTCATGCTTGTACGCGTGTGTAACACGCAAACACGCACTCACTTTGTTTACCGTTCCCACGCAGAGTGGCACCTCCGCATGGGGTCACCGGGTGCCTCCAGAAAGCGGCTGCTCGGCAGGCAGCTCTCAGTGCCTCTCACGATGCATCCGCAGTCGCCCACGTTTGGACAGCTCTCCCCTCTTGCAGAGGTAATGCGTCCAGCCAGTTCAACGTATGTAAGACAAAATAGGCCAATTATATACACGTGTAGCTAATTTGTAATTTACTTGTATACAGTATGCCTGTACCATCTAGCTGCAGTGGCCTGAGCCCCACGCCCCCTCCCCACACCAACTCCCTTTTTGAAGGCTCAGCCCCCCCTTTTTAATTGTTAAAGTCAAGTAACAAAAATGTTGGTGCAATGTTTAACACCGGTGGTGATTTTTATTTCCATAGTTCATGGTTATACTTATGAGTATAGATTTGTGCAAGAAAGGCGCCACTTGTTTAAGCAACAACAACACAACTTGACTTGACTTCCAGCAAGGTGCTCAAAAATGTTGCACGTGACAAAAAATAATAACCCATTGGCCAAGGGGAGAAAACACGAAGAAGCAGAGGAGCTCATTTTGACAACCAAAGGCATCGCATATATAGACATATATGAGAGAAAATATTTGCCAAAGTAGGCGAATAGCTAAATTCAATACGATGTATTTTTAGCACAGTTATTGAAGATTGGGCTTAGGCCATCAACTCACTGCCGCGGAGAACCCAGTTCCGTTGTCAGTGGCTATCACCAGGACCTCAGAGTTTAGTGCCCTGACCCCTGTCCCTCCGAGGATACCTTTAGAAGATGCATGTTTCGGAGAAGCCCTTTAATGCACTTCCTCTGCCTTCTCATCAATCTCTACACCTCCAATTGATATATATGAAATGTAATATATATATCCATTATATATAAGATATCTTTTATATAATATATAACTTTATTGTGATAAAAATATATAGCCTTGGGCACCATCGCGAACACAAGGCAAACCAAGCCGAGTAAATGCCGCTGGTTGATTAATAAAGGCTCTGTGGGCCATTTTTAATACAGACGACAAATGCATTCAATATTTCAGTCTGTGCGCCATGATTCGTAGCGTGTAATTTGTCACACATCTGTGTATTGTGTGGAGAAACATTATTATAAGTGTTCGGAAATATGTAATCGTGATAAATTGTTCGTGGACGTTATTTTGTCATTTTTCAAAGAATGTTTTAGCTCATTTATGATGGAATCGTTGAAGCGGTGTTTCATTTTGTCCCGTTTTTTTATGCACACTTAGAAACAAAGTATGCGTATGTGCAATACCAAAATAAAAAAAATAGAGATAGGTGTGTTCTTCTTGTAAACTGGTATTCCACTTATGTTCAAGGACTACGGGACATTCCCTACAAATATGGACACAACATACAAAACTGAAGACAGTTTCGACTGTGGGACATTGGAAGGTAACTTTATGATTTACTTGAATGTATTATTCACTGCATCATCTCTTTGGTTTCGTAAAACACGAGGAGGGAATCTCACGCGCCAAGCGTTGGGCTTTTGCATTCAGAGTGAAGAGTGAAAATGTCGTTGATGTGTCGCCGTAGACGTGATTGTGGAAGGGGGGCAGCCAAGTGGCAAGCTACATGTGCAGCTCCGGTACGACCAGACCATGCAACACGTGTGGATAATGGTGGTGCAGGTAAGCCTCTCTATCTCTTTGGTCTTTCATTCTTTCATTCACTCACTGATTGAGAGAAGTGAAACCTTTTGTGTGGTCGTATTTTTGAACGACACCCGAAGGGAGGCAGATGAGAGAATAGAGTAGCAGGTAAATGTATTAAAGTCAAATCTAGATAGTACAGGCTGTACAGCTAGTTCTGTATATAAATGACAAATTAACTACATACAATAAAACCTCGTTATTTCAGTATTTGATCATTATTCGTAATTGGGGATAATTCGGCATGGCTGTGCTTTCGGCATATATACGGTGTATTAGTAATTTGCCATGAGCTGAATTGCCATACCAAATGGTCCAATTTCGGCATGACCAAAACAATGAATCAGTCTGGTGGCAGTGTACATGGTGAGCGTTAGTGTAGATCTTTGCTTTGGACTTTACCTTGTTCATGCACTCTGTGCAAGCCAACCCTCTCGGAAATGTCATCTACACCTAAATCAAGAAATAATAGAAAGGGACTGACGTACAAATATCTTAGTGTGCGAGACAAATCCACAGTTTTGGATCAAATTGATGCAGGTGTGTCAATGCATATGGTGTAAGAAAAAATGAAAAAAAAACATTATTGGGGGCAGAAGGCACTGGGGAGTACCATTGTAGATAATTCGGAATATTAGGTAGTTCGGCAAGGCCACAGCCCCATATGTGTCGAATTAACAAGGGTTTATTGTATGTATTTAATTGGCCTATTTTTTTATTTGCATAGAACTGGTTGGGTTGAATTTTGCCGGCATCTGACCCACAAGGGAGTGAGTTCAAATCCCAGATGGGGGTTGACCAAGCCAATCATTTCCTTGTGGTTGCTAATAATAAGTGACATTAACCAGAAGCCGACAAATGTTTTCCACTAGATTAAGTCTCCTCTTCCAAATGAATGTGGAATTTCCACCATTGGCTCAGGGCTGTTAAAAAGGAAATGAGCAGGAAACTGTTAAGATAATAATATTTCACTGACCGAAAAAATGCATACTTTGTAGAAAGCCATGAGTGGTTATTTTACTGGTCCTGTCACAGTAACGTACAGTTTCCCATCACTGACTCAATACCGCTGTTGGAGAGGAGCACTATTCGATGCTCATTCAGTTCAGTTTCAGTTTATTTTGGTATAGCCCTGTGAGCCATCCGGCTCTTGAATCGGGTGCAACCACAACAAACAGAAAAACAAAAACACGAACAAGAAAAACATCTTAAAGTGACTATGTGACTGTGCAAACAGAAAATCCATGGAAAAAAAAAACACCAACGCTGTGTGCAAAAAAATCCCAGTGGGATGCAAATCAAACAACAACAACCACAAAAACTTAGATTAAGGCCATCAGTCTAACTCCGTACTACAACAAAACAAACATGTCCAAACCAAAAAACTTTTCCACATCACCAAAAAATAAAGCCATAATTGCAACATAACAGTGATCACAAGGACTGTGACCGAATTTTTACAATAAACTACATAAATAACATGTAACACCAAACCCTAGAGCCATAGCTGGCTGCATGAGTTACTCCACAACAACAGAAGCATCGGTCGGAGTATCAAATTTTTCAATGCACCTTTAAGATCAGCACGCTAAATGAAAATACAGATAATACCTTGCAGCGTCATCCGGAGCGAAACATTTTATTTTATTTTACGCCAATGAATAGCAGTGGCAGCTAGGGGTGTACAACTCCTCTAGAGCAGTTTTGAGAGAAGATCTCATTGGTAGCGATTCAAGTTGCAGTTTATTGGCAATAGCATTCCAGACTCTGGGGGCATCAATAGCAAAGGCCCTTCCTCCAGTTTTTGTACGGCAATAGGGAATGTGAAGCTGGTAAATGAGCGAAGACCTGAGGTCAAATTTGTTCTTTGAAACAGCGAGGAGATCCAGCAGGTTGTCTGCGGATTTTTTTGTAAGTACATCGTGAATAAATCAGATCTGGTGCACAAGCCGTCGAACATTAAGATATGTTAAGTTTGACCCAATGTAGAGATCACAGTGGTGAGTCCAATATGGGCAGTTCAATGTAAATCGTAAGGCCGAGTGATAGATGGAATCAAGCTTCTTCAGTACAGTACTTGGGGCTGATTTATACACGATGTCACAGTAGTCAAGTAAAGGCAGTATGGTAACTTTTATCAATTCCAAACGGAACATTGGGGTGAAGCAGTGCTTGTGTCGATACAGAAAACCAATTTTTATTTTTGTCTTTTTACCAATATAATCAATGTGATCTTCAAAATTCAGTTTTGAATCCAGGATGACCCCAAGATACTTATAGATCTTGACTTGCTCTATTTGACAATTATTTAAGGAATGTAATTGAGGAAAAATAACTTACTGCTTTAGTCCTGGTGAGAAGCATAGCACCTTGGTTTTGGAGGTATTCAGGACTAGTTTAAGAGCAACTAGCTGATGTTGTAGTTTGTTGAAATCACCCTGTAGCTTAGCAATCACGTCATCCGGAGAGCGGCCAGCAGTAATCAGTATCGTGTCATCTGCAAAAAGATTTACCCTGGAATGATCCAGGTCAGTGCCCAAGTCATTGACATAAAGAGAGAACAAAAGGGGGCCGAGGATGGAACCCTGTGGAACCCTTTTTGTTATCTTAACACTGTTTGACCTCCAACCATCTGTGAATACAGTTTGGGTGCGAGAAAAGAGGTAATTTTGTAACCATTTTACTGCGTTTTTGGAAAAACCGAGGCAACTTAGTTTACTAAGCAGGGTGTTGTGGTCTACTGTATCAAAAGATTTGGATAGGTCTAGAAAAAGACAGGCACAGTACTGCTTATTATCAAGGCTACTGTAAATGTTATGCAGAGAGTCTAATATAGCAGATGTGGTGCTGTATTTTTTTTGGAACCCAGATTGTTTTAGATGTAGTAGATTGTTGGTGGACAGGAAACTGCTAATTTGGTAGGTCAATAATTTTTCAAAAAATTTCATCAACGGGGACAAAATTGAGATAGGTCGGTAGTTATTTGGATCATCTTTAGGGCCCCCTTTGTGAAGTGGATGGACATAGGAATGTTTCCATTCGAGAGGAACTGATGCTTCTTTGATGGACAGGTTGAAAATATGGGCTATAGGTTTGTATATTAGGTGACCAACAGTTAGTAGAGCAAAGACAGGAATACTATCTGCTCCGGTAGAGGAGGACCCTTTGAGGTAGGACAGTTGTTTGAAGCTTCCGGGCCACTTCCAGGAGTCGTGGAGTTCTTCCATTACCAGTAGGGTACATTTAATTAAAGCGTGTTTAAAAAAAAGTTTTTAAAATGTTTTACAACACATCTTTGTCGTTTGAGAACTCACACCCACCGGTACAGGCCAGAAGACTCAGCAAGCAGGCGGTCGGCCGTCTGACACTGGGATTTCCCAATCACGGATCCATAAGCCAGGAACATTTTGTGGGAAAAATCGACATTTTCATAAAATGAGCATATTGGCGGTACACCGGTGGGGCACGGTATAAAAATGTTTTTCGCAAAAATTATTTCTTTTCTAGCAATTCGCAACCGCCGGTCAGAAAATCTTGTCGGGGTGGTGGTGCGTCAAAATCAGTCCTCGTGATGTCGAAGCAGTCGGAACACGAAGCTTCACAGTCTGTTGCCGTATAGCAAGCACCCAGCCTCATAACGATTGGCTGCTCCGTGTTCCAAAGGCAGATTTGATCAGAGGCGTGCGATGGTGACCCGCACGTGATCTGGTGTGAGTGTGAGGGTGTCTGAGCGTGTGTGGGTCTGAGAGTGTGTCTGAGAATGTGATTGTGTCTAAGAGTGTGAGTGTCTGAGAGTGTGAGGGTGTCTGAGAGAGTGTAAGGTAATAATCAATAAATGTTCTCATGGAACATTCTTAATCTATAGGTAAATAAAACGTAATTGAGGATTCAGGCTTTGCCTATAAACAGGTTAGTAGGCCTTAGGCCTAACGGTTTAAACTTTAATTTGGTTACTCGACTAAGGTGTTTAATAACTTAATAATTACAGAGATCATTAGATGGCAGATCTTCAGTCACCCCTATATCTGTCAGTGCATTTTTAACTCATTTGAGGATTAATTCTCACGCCGCAGGCTTCGTCTAAAAACATATCTCAATCGCAGAATTCAGTTATGCAGAATTACGGAAATAATCACACAACCCTTCTGCTTTAATCAATTTTATTTTCTAGCTAAACTTTAACTTTTGGGTAATATGAGAACTCTCAATCGCGGAATTTCAACGCGGCATTAACACGGTACACATCACGATTGCGTTGTTTCACTTCGATAACGTCACCTGTGGTTAATTCCCCACGTGTAACGCAACCTCGGTTGTTGAGAGAGAGATTAAAACATGCATAAACTATTCTACCAAAACCTTAACTCTATAATATGCAAATTAGTATACTTGAATTGTTACACAACACGGCACTCGGTCATTGATCATATGCGACCCTTAATGCAAATTCTTGTCACGTTAACACAGTTGGACGATTGATTATTATGCAACGATATTCATATGAACGGCACTCAAATAATTATCATTTCCAAAGGCACAATTCTCAACAGATCCATCTGCAAGGTTATATGATGAGAGCAATGGCTTATAGTGAGATTCTTACCTTGGGCCAATCTTTTAATTAATTGTGGCCAGATCCCTGACAGGGAAACCGGTTGAACACGCTATTCTCCCCCGTGAGCGGCGCTCCGTGGCGAAGGTGCCAAGGATTAATCCGTATTGATGGATCAGTTGGTAACTTATGCGATTAGAAGTACAGCCCCAAACAAAATATTAACGAGGTAAATTATGAATACTCTTATAAACGACGGATTGTTCGAAGAGGGCATACACTTTACTATTTATACGGTTCTTGAAATTAAATGTGCCAGGGTCATGTATCGAATGATGAGCCGTGTGTCAGTGTTGGGACGGGGTTAATGGGTGTGTGCTGAGCCAACATCCTTGGCTTACAGGTGTAAAGACATGGTGAAAATCAGTTTGACAAAAACACACACTGCTTGTTTGCTGGAGGTTGCTCACGAGGAGGCAAGATTGACGTTATCCACAGGGCTTTGCCGAGCATCAGTGTTCACACTCACTTAGGTCATCCTTAGCTCTAAGAGCTTCCTATGGGTTTCTTCATTGAACACGAAGTTCATTTCTTGAGCACTTGCCCGGGTAGACGGAGGGCCCCAATTCTGCCCTGGGAATGTTCATTTCTTATCTTGGCCAATCTAATTGTAGACAAAGTGACATCTGGGCTAATATTATGCACTGTGTGATGGAGTTGACAACACTTTTAAATAGGGATGTAGGAATCCCCATGCCTCGTTGGTTATGACATTCGTTTGACTTTAAACGCCACGCTGGTTAGCGTGGGTTGGTGGAAGGGGTACCCATAACTGCTTCAATTAGCACTCGCCACTGATGTTAGCAGTGGCTGCGAACCCAGCTCAGAATAACAGGTTCATAGCACATAACTCTTCCCACACACTACTGCCCCCCCGCCCCCAGTCTGTATGATACAATGGACATAATTACGTGACGTTCAATATTTAGAAAGGGCAACATTGAATGTAGCCGAATATAACGCATGTAACATGTACTTATTTTATAATAAACCAAAGAATGTTTGAGAATGCCACGTCATTTTACCAGTGGTATAAAAACATCTATTATTTTCTCTTGGAATGTCAATGAAGAGGATTTGCAGGGTATATAGCAATGGTTAGGAAATAATTATTCTGACAAGAACATTGTTTTCACGAAAACATTTTTTTGCTGAAAGGCTTTGATGAGGATAATTGGAAAACATAGATTAGTGTTGACACACAACCTTCAGATGGATGGTTACTTTAAAGAAGTGTGGATGCAGAATAAGAACCCAGACCATAATGATGACAGCTAAGTATGTGGTGAATTTCTTACTTCAATATGCTGAAAATTACAAGGCAGACAGCCTCGCCCATGTTCAAGGCATAGTTTTGTTATGATTCGTAAGTTTGAATTGTATGCCCTGCAACTGAGACTTGAGTGACAGTCAACCCTCTCAGCTCAATCAGATTTCATGACGCTGACAGCAACCTTTTTGCGATGTTCCAAGTGAACCTCGAGGTTTTATATAATGGGCAGACTTTGCCAAAATACATATCTGGAGGGTATCCTTTTTATTTTAATTCTGGGTTACATTTAAAATGATCTGCAAACGCTGACCCTCCGTTGAAAGAGTCACTCAAAGGCATTTAAATAAAGGTTGCATTTTCAGAAGAACATGTTTTATTTATAAAGTAAGGAAATATGGCACCTGAGGGGACATGTTGAAGGAACTCGTTGTATGGCAGACTCACAGCTTTGTCACTTGAATCCTTTCAACGTCCCCATGTTTGTTTTGTTCCACCCTTTCATCTTGTGAACTGGATATTTTGCGTTGCTGTTAACTTTCATAATTTTGCCCCGTAATTATCTATGTCCCCTTTTTGAAAGTGTTTAATATAACTTTAAAAGATTCATCTTCTTTGGTTCTTTCGGTAAAGTCACGTAGAATGAGAATAAAATATTAAATTAATAAAATAAAATGACACAATAAAATTCTCACGACGTTTCGGCCACAACACAAGTGGCCTTCAGGTGAAAGGAACAGACCTGTCGGGACGACAGAGCTTCAATGAACGTTGTTAAGATTCGTAGCGTCTTTTTAAGCTGGTTTAGAGAAGTGAGGCACCTTGACAAAGGGGTTTACATATGAAACAGGATAATTTAGCATTGAAATAGCTGAGTGATTAGCTTGTGACTGGTCATAGAAATAGTTAAAGTCAAAGCTTACACATCCACAGAGGCACCTAGTACAAATCAAACAGGAGAATTTAGCATTGAAATAACTGAGGGACTAGCTTGTGACTGGTCATAGAAATAGCTATGTTAAAGTCAAAGCCTACACATCCACAGAGGCATCTAATACAAATCAAACAGGAGAATTTAGCATTGAAACAGCTGAGTGATTAGCTTGTGACTGGTCACAGAAATGGCTATGTTAAAGTCAAAGCCTACACATCTACAGAGGCACCTAGTACATGGACGCCAAAGGGTCTGCAACAACTCGACTATCATATAGTAAACCGATGTGAAAAAACCCAAGTCTAAATTACATCAATATAATAAATGTACTCAATATATTCTTCAATAAGCTAAGCTATTAACAGTAACTGGGTATACACTACACTATATAATGAATACCATATAGTAAACCAATAAAAAACTAACATATAAACTACCTCAATGTTATCAATAAACTATATATATATTCTCCAGTCAGCTAAGCTACCAACAATAAGTCGTTATATATCGCAATGTTATATGGTGAAAAAATGGGTGGATTCTTACCCTCAACTTCAGCACCACGGATAGCTACGAGCCCCGTTCAGACGGACGAGTTCATCCATGGTCGGAACGGAGGAGGGGGAGAGAGACAGCTGCGAGGCGCTGTTATACTCCATGTTGTAAACCATACCATTAACCGTGGTGTGAGAGGTATTAAGAGTCAATGCCAGCGAAAGAGCTGCGGTCTGAAGGTCATCGTGAAATACAATTAAATCGAAATTTTACTTAAAAAGAGTAGAGATATTTGCTGTAGTGTTCTGACGTCACAACGGGCATGCAACTTGTGTAACTAACCTGTGACCACTTCCTGTTTTATATGTCATGGAGGACGGAGATATGTCTGGCAATCTGTAGTTTGTCTCTGAGAATCAAGTAAAAATCTAATTTGAGTAGTTCTCCCTTTGGGCTCATCCACGACTCGTGTTTGAACAAGGTGTTTGTTTTCTTCACTTTCCTTGCCGGCCGCGAACCCTAACAGACGTTATCGTCTCTCGCCCCATACTCCAAAACCAAATGCATCAATCATCGGCTCTCATCTATGCAACTCGCATCTGTCAACAGACACGTGGAGGTTTTGGTACACATTTTGCCACGTTTTTCAGTGCAGGTTGGCTAAGGTAGCACTTTAAGATGTTTTCTTATTCATGTTTTTGTTTGTTGCGGTTGCACCCGATTCAAGAGCCGAATGGCTCACAGGGCTATATCAAATAAATGGAACTATGAACCTGATAAGAGAATGACTTTGCAATAACGCAAGGCGCCCATAGCCCACCGAAACACCCATAGCCCCAATAGCCGCAAGCAATCAGCTGCCATTGCAACCGCCATAATAAGACTACAACCACAGTTAACCACAGCAACAATCACCAACATTAAAACAACTAGTAACTTTGTAACGGCTGTACAGGAAGTAATTCCGATTCATGTGACATTCATTAATATGTGATGCCTCCTTGGACTCCGTGATGAAAAATGTCCCACTATTTTATGCAACGCCTCACGATGTGGTCCCATCTAGATGCTATATTAATTTACACTGCATTTGTCTTAATCACAAGCAATGCACCTTGCAGTGTGATGCCAGTGCGTAGGCAATACAGACACATGGTCTGCATCAATTAATGAAAGTGTGTAGTCTCCATAGACACATGGTCTGCAGCGAAGCCAGCATTCAAATAGATACACACGTGGTCTGTAGTGTTTATACAACATTGATATAGACACGTGGTCTGTAGTGTTTAAACAACATTGATTTAGACACGTGGTCTGTAGTGTTTATACAACATTGATATAGACACGTGGTCTGTAGTGTTTATACAACATTGATATAGACACGTGGTCTGTAGTATTTATACAACATTGATATAGACACGTGGTCTGTAGTGTTTAAACAACATTGATATAGACACGTGGTCTGTAGTGTTTATACAACATTGATATAGACACGTGGTCTGTAGTGTTTATACAACATTGATATAGACACGTGGTCTGTAGTATTTATACAACATTGATATAGACACGTGGTTTGTAGTGTTTATACAACTTTGATATAGACACGTGGTCTGTAGTGTTTATACAACATTAACATAGACACATGGTCTGCAGTGATGCCGACATTTATATTAGACAGATAGTGATATCAGCGTGTAGACCACATACGCATTGTGTGCAGGGAAACCAGCATTTTAGACTTCGCCAACACATGGGTCTGTTGCGATACCATTGTTTATCTTACAGAGACTGATTGTCTGCAGTGCAAGGACTGTAGAACACTGCCCTGCTCACCCACCCTCCCATTGCTCTTGCACCAGCTGTCTGCCTTAAGCAACAATGTACCGCTGCCTCTGTAAAACGAGGCTTGGCCTTGGCTATTAAACACATTCATAGGTTACTTCATAGGTAGACATGGACGGTTGGACCTTAATGAGGTTGTACAGATTGGAGCCGAGAATTTGTTCAAGGCCATTAAGCGGTACAACATAGGGTTGTGCCTGAAGTCATATTGATGTTCTAAATAAATCAACATAATTGCATTTGGAATAACAGTTGCAGCTCTGGCCTGTGTGCTTATTTGTGTAAAGAATGCCCGTGTTGTTGCATACACTCAGTGATTGCATGCATGCAGCCGTTGTTGAGAATAATTACGGGGTTTGTGTTGTACGCAAGAAAAAAATTAATTTGTCAGCTGCAACAGTGGATGCAAACATGCAGCGAACTTTTTTTTTACCTCTGTGGTTAGAGATCCAATTACCTCGACTAGGCATATGTCATATGTAGGTCTCTAAGTTATAAGCAGATTCACGAGTCAATTAATTCGCTAACTCCAGTACGTAGTAGGAGTAGAAATAATAAGCGCAGTGTGACAGAGACGCATTGCTCTCTCACACCCCGTGTGATTTTCCCGGTCACATTCTCTCCTCAGGTTCAAAACCTCGTGCTCAAGCCGAGCAAGGCTCCGCCGAGCCTCTACGTGAAGGGCACGGTGCTCGCTGACAGGCGGTGGACTTTCAAGACCAACATGAAGCCCAACATCAGCGTGAGCGAGCCCGCGGGCGGCGGGGCACGAAGGCCGCGGTTTCCACGAAATCCCCTGGCAATCGAACTCGTCGGCCCAGTTGTAGGGTGGACATTCCATCAGTGGGGGTCAACTAAGGGCTCTGTAAATACCCGAGACCTGTCTCCTATGAGAGTATCAGCAGAGGATGTTTTTTGGGGGTATTTATTTTCTCCCCCCCCCCCCTCTCACTCAGGAGTGCATTGATTTATCTTTATACTCTATTACTTAATCCTCGTTCAAAGGCGAGGGATGAGGGAGATCAATTATGGCGCCTCACTCAAGGCAGTCACAAGGTCGAATGGTAAACAACAGTGGCATAAACATAACCGTTGTGTATTACACTGTTGTACAAACATACTTTATGTTTTAAGTGTTTCGCAGACGGCATTATGAACCTGCCAACCTGAGTTCGATTGTCGGCCACGGCCTTCATCAGGGGCGAGTGATATCCGAAACCGGTCGAGGCTTTCCATCCTTCACCAACTTGCACTGACCAGTTTGGTGAAGTATGGTCAAACAACTCCCATGGCCAACATGGCATGGGTAGGCCTACGTACAGCAGTGGATTGACAAAGGACCGTAAATTAGATTACTTTCAACTTTAATTTCATAACTGGCAGCAACTGTTTAACTATTTATGGATTAATAATTTAGCAGAGAGGTCTTGCGGCCATTATTTTAACGGACATTTACATGCAATGTTATTAGCCCTTACAAACATAGCCATCAAACATGGCATGCACAGTTGCAACCTGCTCTGATTTGGTTTAATTACCCTCACTATTTTGCGTTATTCTCTTTTTTGGTGACCTTGGTCACCCTGGCAAAATGAGACTATCCTGGACTATGCTCGACTTCTCACCTGGTTTTAACAACAACAAAAATACACCAAACTGACTCGAACACAAAACTCCCTCAGCGCGAACGCGATGGTGGGACTTATCGCCTCGTTTCTCCCGCAGAACCCGAGGTACGACGAGATGTTTGTGTTCAACATTGAGCCCAAAGCGATGCAGACGGCCAAGCTGGAGTTACAGGTGGCCACCAGGAAGCCCCGCAAAGAGATCCTGGGGAAGACGACGATCAGCCTCCACAGCCTGGGAGAGGAGGCAACGGATCACTGGCTGGAGCTCTTCTTTCATCACGCCACTGTAAATAAGCTCATGAATAATTCATCCATAATACAGGTTTTTTTTGGGTTAGATCGCGTAAATATAAATGTGTCCTTAAACCCACCACCACCCGACCCAGCCAATTAGTACGGTTTGTCACGTAAACAGAACATTTAAATTCGGGACGAGTATAGCACAATCTGAGTATGACGTTTCACCCGTAATTACATGATGAAGCGATTTGTAATGTATTGATAGGAAGATTTGATCCACGGGTAATCGGATTTTCCACGGATAGAGTTGAGGGTGCGGATAATGGGAAGAGTAATTAGGTTTGCTCTGTCTACTCGGAACAGGTGGATATTTAATGGGAATTGACACTTGAACCAACATAATTTTTTCTGGAGAATCGTTGAGGAATCCGGCCTATTCAACTGTCAGAAACGCCTTCATCAATGTCGAGTCAGCAGTCATTGTTATAGTGGCATGAATCTTCGCCCTGAAACTCCCATTGGCTGTTCCACTTGCATTTGGGCCAAACATTGGAATCAGGTGTGTGTTATAACTACGAGCGTAAGTCATTGCCGCATGCTCATAGCAACTGTAAGATTAATTATTAGTAATAATACGTGCTTTCTATCAGCTCACCCACCTCAACGTCAGTGTGCTCATGCCCACATGCATCTACAGCCCAGGGGGCATGGAGATGAAAGATCCGCACACGTCTGCCCGATGTCTCTCTGCGTCCCACCCGTTAGTGTCTGCCAACATGCCGAGTGGCAGTGACCATTATGAATTCAGAAGACATTGAGATAGCACGTTAGCGTACAGACCCGAGCATCCTGCACCTAAGACATCGACACAGTGATGTACAGTACAGACAAAAGCCATCACAGTCAATCGGCTTTAATGGGGATGTTAAAACAATGGTGCAAATCTCTTACATTTTCCGCACCCCCACCTCTTTCCCCACAGCAGTGAAAATGGAAACACGACAAATAGTTAATCGGTAGGTCGCATGTGATGGGGTAAAGTGTGGGTACTCCCACATATTTTTTGTGTTTGGTTGTTGTTTGTGTTTAGTGTGTTGTCCTTCCCCCGCACCACATATTAGCACGGTTGGCTATGTACGGTACGAAAGAAGTGAACACACGTGCACACATCTTCCAAGTCGTCTGGCCAACACGGAAAAGTTGTTCAAAGTGACCTCGAGATTGGCTCTATAGAGTTTGTAGTGGAGGAAATTCCTCTGGCAGTGTTGTGAGAAAGAAATTCCAGGGCTGCACCTTTACCGCCAGCTTATGGGCCTTCCGGATGAGTGAAAACACATGGGTTTTCATGCACGTCAGCCGCCACTGAATTACCATGAGCGATATTCCTTGAATAATACAGGCGCATCTGATCCACTACCAAGCATGGAAGGATCGCTGCACTATCAGTATCATTGTGCAGCAGTGTAATAAGGAATCATGGCCGTTAAACGTTGTTATTGTCCCGTTGACTTGGTCAGTGTGTCCCCTTTGATGGCTCATTGATATCTCAGAACAGATTAATTATTTAAATTTCAGTGTAATGAGCTCAGAATACAGAGCTTCATTACACAAAATAACAATGAAGCCCTTTAATTCTTATTATATTATTGGTTCTTTCGGTAAAGTCAAGTTGAAGGGAAACAATAAAATAATAAAATATATATAAAACAATAAAATTCTCACGACGGTTCGGCTGTAACACAAACAGTCATTATCAGGGGTGAAAACCAACGGCAAGAAACATTTGAAAGAAGTGGCGGTTTGTATTTATAAAAAAAAACGTTAGCACCACGGATAGCGATTTGACAGTTTGTTTAGAAGGACGAGTCCATCTATGTTCGGAAAAGAGGAGGGGGGAGACGAAAAATTAATGTATGCTGGCTGAAAGCCACCGTAAGCGTGAACAATCAATTAAGACCCGAAATGGTTTATCAAATCCTTCCAATGATTGCTAAGCCAGAATCCATCTTATCGGTTGAAATTGTCTCTGTGTTTGTATATGTGGATAGCCTCATGAACGAATCTCTCATGGTAGCCCTATGGCTTGCAAAGAACCTCTGTCTTGGAGAAGTCAATGTCATGTGAGCCTACTGAATTATAACAGTGATCTGCCACGGCCGAGGTGTTGGTCCTACCGTGTTTAAGGTATGCTTTGTGTTCACGAATGCGGTCCGAGACATGTCGTTTGGTTTCTCCAATGTAACTACTACCACAGAGGCAACTTAGTTTGTAGACACCAGGGTACTGTATGTCCGGAATCACATCTTTTACAGACGGAACCAGATCACGGATTTTATGTAATGTGTTGAAACGGACCTGGAACTAATTCTGTAGAGGTATCATATGTCCCCAGCTTATATCCATCGTATATATGGCATGATACATCATACTGTCTCGTTACACAGATGCACGATACTCAGTTAATGATATTGCCAATATTTATAACCTTGCCAATTTGTAATGTGTTTATTTAAATAATTTAAGCAACTATTCAGTTAAAAATCCGTACTCAATAAACAGTCACTTGATTATATAAATGGCTTTTTAATGGACAAGAGGTTCCCTCAAATGAATCACGAGCTATATTTATTGCTCTTTTATTGTTATCGGGTAAAGGTTTATATTTACAGCCCATCACAATGTCTTATTCAGCAGATGCTTAATAACATATTTTCTCATTAGGGGGGAATTGAGTGATGGCACAATGGTTAGCGCACTGCGCTATGAACCCGGCAACCTGAGTTCGATTCCTGGTCGTGGCTGACATCAGTAGCCAGTGATATCTGATTTAATCCTGGGTGCCAACATTACTAATCTGGATTGGCCAGTTTTGTGAAGCATAGTCAATCAACCCCGATGACTGACGCAGCATGGGGTTAATTGTCGATCCATCCAGCAATTGATTGCCAAAGGGATATAATGAACGAAATCAATTGGTTTTCTCGGTCCATTTATTTCGTACAATGCTGATGAGTGCATTCCGTGCTGCCGGTTCCTTTGAAGTCGCATTGTGAGAGCCTGCATTGCAGATGGACAGAGGGGAGCTGTGTGTGTCCAGCTGTCTCGACCTGCAAAAGGACACCCTTACGCTGCACATTAAGGAGGCACGCGACCTCCGCAAGTCCTACTCGACCACCCCAGGCAGTGAGTCACCTTAAAGGAAACGGGCGTGCGTGCACGTATCCACACCCACGCGCGCATGCCTGCACACAACCAGAGCAGCGAGGCTAAGCCTACCCATACCCATGCCTGGAATTTCTGTTTGCACAGTCACATAATCACTTTAAGATGTTTTCTTGTTCGTGTTTTTGTTTTTTGTTTGTTGCGGTTGCACCCGATTCAAGAGCCGAATGGCTCACAGGGCTATACCAAATAAATGGAACTATGGAACTATGCCGTCAGGTGCGCAAGGCAGAGCCAATAGATTTCCTCATCGAATCTATCCTGGGTCAAGGTGTTTCACATCTCGTATGCCAATATTAAGTGCTGTCGGGTCTGATGTTATGAAATGCCATTTTTCGCTGACGACAACCTCTTAAACTTCGAGTAGAAAACCTGTTTTTTATTCTGTCGTTTGATATTTTGAGCACGTGACCCAAGTTGGTCCATCGTTAACATTGTGCTTGTGCAGAGGCTGCTGGTCTATTCTTTGCTCTTTTTTAATGTCATCTGTTGATACATAATCTGACTGTTTGACGAACATAATAATTAATGGATTCCTTTAGTTTATTAAGGCGTATGGAACATCCCAATGAGACTATTGTCCGATTATTGTACTCTTGGAAAATAAATAATATGTAATAAAAAATACTGCATTATTGTTTAGTCGTAATTGTATTACTGTTGTTAATTTATTGTTGTTCTTTCATGTTGTTTAATGCTGATATGGACATCCCATTTTTAATGGTAGAGGTTTTGATAGTTGGTTGAGATGTTTATTGTATGTGTGACCCATATCTCCCTTGAAAAAGAGACTTTTGGTCTACACGGGCTTGCACCTGACTTAAAGGATACAAAATACGACATGTGATGTCATAAACTGTCCTCTTGAGCATAATTTCAAATATCAACTCAGGTACTGCATTAGTTTAACAAAATACTCGTCAATAACAATATTTTTTTCTCAATAATTTCAGCCCTTTGTTTATCCACTGCTGAATGAAGGCCTTCCAACAATGTTAGTGATGGGTGTTGTTTGGCCATACTTCACCACGCTGAGTCTGTGTGGCTCGTAAAATCGGGGACTCAGAACTTGTTCAAATATCGTGGCCAGGAATCAAACTTCGGTGAACGTTTCATCGCGCAAAGCGAACACCACTGCACCAACCCTCTGCCGTGGATTTGTTTGTTATACTGCATATTATAAACTGACATGTAATCTAAACAACACTGGTTATTGATTCAATATCATTATAATTGCTTTGGAAGTGAAGTAAACTTAGTACCTTGGACAGCCTATGCAAGGAGACAACGATTAAGCGTTCGTGCCCTCGCCTTCTCAAAGGAGCGTGACATACACTGTGTAATGCTACCGCAGCGTAACACAGAGTCCCGGTGTTGGCTGGGCCACTTGAGAGTGCGCTGCGCTCTGAGGCTGGGAGCGGCGTTTACCTCCGCAGTAAATTGGATGAGAATGTTTGCCCGCGAGGCGTCGGCTCCGACGCACCGCTTGAGTCAATTGCGATTTTGCACGAACGCTCGTGCGTCGCGAAGGATCGTGTCTCTCTCGTCGGCACAGGGGCGCGTGCTGCGTGCCCTGTGCCCTTCATCGTCACCGTCTTAGCTTTGAAGATTGCTCTCTTCTCGTCATTGAACAGTAATTGATAAAAAAAAAAGAAACCCGAGCTTTTCGTGTGCGCATTGGAGGAAAATACATTTGAAAATTCTATGGATGCTAACCACTGAACAAAGACGGTCACTGCATCGGGCACTTTCAGATGCGCTTCTGCGGCCGTCTGGACTGTTCTTCTTTCCGATATTATGAAGCCACTGTAACTAGGAACTTTTAAATATCAATTGAAAACTGTTTTTTTTTTAAGAACTGCTCTTTGTGTTTAGTTTGTTGCCCTTCCCCCACACCTTCGAGTAACATGGTTGGCTACATATGGTGCGAAAGAAGTTCAACATTACATATATACAATTGACTTTTTAACAATGCGATGTAGCCCAATCAAAAAATCTGGCACACGATGAACTACTTTTGAAAGAAAATAATTGGTGGTTCGTCACACCTGGATGAGCTTCGTCAGTGGGTGATTATAGTTATCGTTTAATAACCTTCAAATGTAGCTAGTTTATTTCATTTGCAATGTTGCATGCATGGTTTGTTCTCAGAGTTTCGTGCCTGTATCACACAATTGCGAAAGGAAATAGCTCAAGTAGATACAGTTTACAAATGCTTTATAGGAAAAAAATGTGTGTTTTTGCATGAGTATATGTATTAACAGAGTTTATAATTGATCATCCTCAGCATCCATGACGGTGCTTTTTTCTGGAAGATTTTACTGTTTTATCCTGGATGTTTCTGTTGCCCGTCGTCACTTCAAGATGCTCTTTGTTCATGTTTTGTTTGTTGCGGTTGCACCCGAGTCAAGAGCCTCATGGCTCACAGGGCTATACCCAATAAATTAAACTGAAACTATCTACTGTTGGATGATGGCCACCTGAAGCCATCTCTCACAGGCTTGCGATGCAAAAATCCCCAGTAGATATAGTTTCCAAATGCCTTCGGGGCACAATGCGCATTTTATACTAGTGTGTATTTACACGGTATGTAATTGATAACGTGTTATACATTAATAGTAATAACATTTAAAAATAATAATTTTGAATTTCTGAGACTATTTGAAAACATATCGACATTTTTTACGAGTGTCAATAACAGCAAGTATGTAATGAGAATGCATTTATATTTTTTTGCACACGCACACATGCACACACTTGCACACACATTTACGCACAATAGATGCATTCGTGAAAGCCACCATGCTCATAGCGGACAACAAGGTGGAGAGGAGACAGACGCCACTGAGTGCCGTGGTACATGGCGGCGTCAGCTGGAACCACCCCATCAGCCTCCCGGCCGAACACCGGCACCACAAGTTCCGCGGAGTGAGCGTCGAGCTGCGGGTGTTCTACCGCGACTCGCTCCGCCGGGCACACCTACTGGGCCAGGTGTGTGTCTCTCTCCGTCTCCAGCTCTCTCTCTCTCTGTGTTTCTTACTGACCCAAACAACAATGAGCCCCAACCAAATCTGACCTTTTGCTGCACAATAGCCAAGCGCTGTTTTTTTTGTTACGTTCAAACCCATTTGCGCGTCGGTGAGTGATGTAAATTATAATCGCAACAAATACTGTACAACTAAATATCCAACGCATTGCGCGCTTTCATATGCGCCACTGGAGCTATGCACTTTAAATATAGATCGAAAACTAATTCTTTAGAACTGCTTTTTGTGTTCAGTTTGTTGTCCTTCCCCTGCACCCCCGATTAGCACAGTTAGCTACATACCGTGCGAAAGAAGTTCAACATACATACATGTTCTAAAAGAGCTAATAATCCGATATTTGGTACATAGAGATCAAGTCTATCCTTGTAAGTAGAAAAATCCTGACACCGAAAATTGCAAATGTGGGCCCTCCATATAACAAAATGCAAACCGCAACAGTGCAGCCCTGCAATTGTTTGCTCATGCCACTGCTGGCAGAAAGACCTCCACTAGACGAGCTCTACAGAACTCATAGAGAAGACATTCTGGCATCCTCTTCTATTCTGGGCAGATATGGGGAGTGCTCACATTTTACCCCACCACACACGATCCTACAATAAACTGTGGTGAACCAACTTGTACTGCTGAGTGGACAGAGGCGAGGGATTTAAGAGAAACTTGCCCCATTTGCCGCACCGGGAGATCGAACCATTGACCTCTGTACTGCAAGTCACGTGTGCGGACCAACACACCATGGCAGCATCTCTCCCTCGGTTATAAGTTGGAAAATATTTTTTTCTCAGTTTAACACGTAGTAGGCTTTCATGACCAATATGATCCATAATATAGGTTTGTTTTCGTGTTAGATCGCGTAAATATAAATGTGTCGTTAAGCCCAAATCTGGCTGTCGCCTGATGAAGCTAGTTGTAATTACTGGTGAACGTCGTACTCAGATTGTAAATGTTGTGGATTTGTTCTCCAACACACAGGTGTGCTGTACTTGTGACGAATTGCCATGTTCTGTTCATGTGACAAACCTTACATATTGGCTGGGTCGGGTGGTGGAGGGTTTAACGACACAACATTTATATATTTACGCAATCTAACCCCACAAAAAAGAATCTTTTATTATTTATTTCCTCTTTTAAGCCTGGGGCTGCGATAGTTTTTTTTTTAATCTGGAGGTTCGGTGTTTTTGAAAGTGTGTGATGCTAAAGCTGATAAAATGCAATCAAAACAATATTTTTTTGAGTTAAACTTTCATGAATATAGCTTTTCAACACTTTGCTCTGTATGGACACGTGTGTGTTGATACTCTGTTCATGTCTGTGTATGGGTATAAATATATACATTATATGTACTCGTGTGCCATGACGGCCTTCATAGGTGCTTGCTAACGAAATTTTCCCCAACAGTCTGTTCAGGCAATAGGGGGTATCGTTGTCTTTGTATTTATGTATTATGTACAATTTTATCACATTTTCGTATGAGCTAATATTGATTTTCACATTTATTTGTATTGATACGGTAGCTTTGTGTAAAGCATTTATCAAGTACCTTGTAAATATACGGCCAGTGTGTGAGTTTAAAGACGTTTTATGCAGTGAGTAAAGAACATTGAGTTACATCTGGGTTCAAAATAGGATCAGAATGTTCTCAATTGCCTATCGCCTATGATTACTGTTACCTTGCACTGGTCTTGCCAGGAGCAGTGAACTTGTAAATTGTACAACAATTCATGGCGAGAGTACAACAGCAATGTACTGCAGTAAAACTTTGTGCACCAGTATGCCCTATGTGGTAGTATATAGTATACCGTTGTGCACTCCATCATATCCATGACTGTGTGTGTGCACTTGTGAAAGCTTCTGATTGTTGTTCTTCCTCATATGGGCCGCCACGGTGGAGAGATGTTAACTACCTCGCCTGGTATACCGGAGGTCTTGGGTTCAATCCCGACCCTGACGCCTGCTGTACATTTGGAGTTTGCGTGTTCTCCCCGTGGTCGCGTGGAGTTTAATCTGTGTCCCCCGGTTTGTTTCCTGCGCCTTTAGAAACGTGCCTTTAGAGTATTGGGCTGCTATAAATGTCCACAGCAGTCACTTCGTTGAGCTCTCCTTTGCGGCCAGGTCGTTTCTGAAAGAGAGCTTCATAGCTCAGTTGGCCTTACCTGGTAAAATAAATAGAGTTGTAGTCATAGATATTGCTTGTTAATCTCATGTGTTTTGCTTCTATTAAAGTTTTTAAGGCTCTGTCAATTTTGGTGCTGCAGTAGTTTTAGCAAACAGGACTTTGCTTGGAATTCAGGTGCCTGAGCTCCAATCCCGACCCAGGGCTCACATGAGCCAGCGAGTGATAGCTCACGTGGTGCTTGGCCGCCCCTCCCCCTCTTTCACTGTGGTGGTGAAGTATGGTCACGCAACTCCCGGCGTGGACATGCCTTCAACCAGCAGTAGATAAAGAAAGGGCTTTAAATGTCATTCTTTAATTGTCGCCATTTGCTTAAAAATGTGAGGGTTTATTTATAACATTTGACGTTACATTTCTTTGTAATGCAATAGTTTTTTTATATAAATATTTTTTTGTGGTTTGTCTTTGTAGAGACTTGTTGTTCCTTTGGACTCTCACCTGGTTATAAAGGACTTCGGTCAACACCCAGGGTTTAAAAATAATGAATAATAACCAAACCAAGCAATACACTCGGTGTTCTGTTCTGACAGACAAATATATCACAGGGAATGCCAGGTTAACGACGCATTTCTATTTACTCGATCTAACACCAAAACCTTTATTATGAAAATTATGAAGGTTTTACATGACGGTAAAACAAACAGGGTGGCATTCCTTCCAGTGCATTGAGATAAATAAAATCAGCCTTATATTGTACATACCACATCAGCCTTTATTTAAAGCAGCATTGGTGCTCAAATTAAAATGAAACTTAAAGAACTTTTACTGGTAGTGATGTGGGTACAAAAAAAAAAGCAATCGTGTTCAGCCATTCATTCAATCCACTGCCGAACGAAGGCCCTCCCAATGCCATGTCAGTAATGGGGGTGGTTTGTCCATACTTGACCGTGATGGTCACTGGGGTTTGGTGACAGAGAGGGTGCAGCATCGGTTCTGTGATATCACCCGCCACTGACTTTAGCTGTGGCTAGGAATCAAACCCAGACTGATGGGGGCCATCGTGCAGTTTTATAACCACCGCACCACCACTTCCTCCAGGGTCAAGGTGGACAACGCAGTATTAATAAAGGCTTGAGCAATGCAATTGAGTACGAAAGAATACTGCTAATTATTGCATTCAGCACTGAGAGAGACTGCACAGCCAATACCTTGCATTTACAATTCCCGTGCGCAGCTGCCGGTCGTTGAAATCCATACATCACATTGCGAGCGCACGCGCGCGCGTGTGTGTGTGTATAATGTGTGTGTGTGGGTAGCAGTAGTGTAGCAGTTAACGCACTGCGCTATGAAGCTGGCAACCCAAGTTCGATTCCCACTCGTGGTCAACACCGGCGATGATTACGTGAACCGGTCCTGGACCTTTCCTTTCTCAACTCATCCTCAAATGAGCACCTGGTGCGGCGTGTAAACATCACCACTGGGAAGACAATGACGGCCGGGTGTGATGTTGGGCCCGCATCCCCTCGCGTGCCGTGACAGATTTCTTAAGCGCTCGCTAACAGCGCTTGCTCCAAAAGTTTGCTAACGCTATTAGGGGGATCTTTGTCTTTGTAATGCGCTTTTGACAGGCAGAGTGATCGATACATCTGACACGCATGTGTCGTGTGGCCAATGCCGCGAGGTTGAAATGAATTCGGCTTTCATCAGTTAAATTGGCCAAAGTGAATGGTGCACGGATGCTGTCGTCCGTCGTGTCAATTATAAATAACGAGGCTCCGGAACGCGGCATATTAACTTGCCAGTTATCATTACTTCAGTATGAACTGGCAGTTTGGGAAGTGAAATATATAATCGTAATTGAATTTATTTCAGCAGGAATGTCCCCGTTAGACATAGATATTTACTTCGCGTGAGGGTTCTCGGGTACATGATTTTAAAAATGTATGTTGAGTATAAAGTATAGTGTACGAATAATGTGTAGTGGCGCTCTTATACTCTGTGGTTTTAGCGTCACACTCCACGGGATGTTAATGATTTGGCTCACTGATTGTGAGCATCATATGTTTGTAAGAGTTAAGCACAATATCTCATGGAGTGTAGAAATTTAGGCTGACCCTGCTCTGAATGGACCAATCAACCTCGGGGCTGTATTTTTTTTGGCTTTTGATAAAAAGAGTTATAATCATGTACTCAACTGCTGTACAGTTGTGCAATATGTAATCTTTCTAGCTCTTCTAGAACATTGTTAAACTCTGCATCAGTCACTGAGTCAACCACAATAGTGTATATGTAAAATATGAGACCTGGGTGCCAGGCAGCTTTGTCTGTTGATGCTGTGTGCATTGCTTTGTAAACAGGGGTCAAGTAAAAGTGGCTTGCTACTCAAATGAGCATGGGGTGATACTCATCTTATGTTCACGGCACTGAACGAGCGGTGAAAAATCCACATTCCTACTTGAGTTGGGATTTAATCTACAGGACAACCGTTGTTGATTCCCCATAAAGCGGTATTTATTTTAGCGGCAACAGAGAAACGTTTTACTCAGTCAAACTCCAACCGGTCATGGAATTCATGGCCTTCTGGTTGCGAGCCACATGCCCGCACCGTTGCACCACCTGGCATAACGATACGTGGCTTAAAAGGGATGATCGATAAGTTATTATGATAATGCCACTATTAATATTAGTGCGTCGGGTGAAGCAGTGACAGATTGGTTACCCAAGTGCACTGTGAACACGGTGACCTGTGGTTGCTTCCTGGTGGCAAATCGCATCAGTGGCGAGTGATATCTGGGCCAGTTCTGTCCTCCACTTCACCAACCCCGACTGACTGG